TTGATCACAATCATCAAAAATAAACATCTGAAATTTAAGTTATGGAGCAAAATCTGCAATTTAAAAATTCTTTAGTTCACAAGTATTTTAAAAGTGTACTTTAAAGTGTTCACTTCATGATGCCTTCATTCCCCAGAGCTCTCCAAAGAATGCAACTTCCTTTAAACACTTGCACTATTTTCCTAATCACATTAAGAAAAAAAGTGATAGAACTGAAAACTTAAATTGTGGCTGTATTAAGAAGGGCATTATCAAAAAAAAAAAAAAAAAAAAAGGGACATGCTTTTGGTATTATTTAACCTCAGCATCCAGCTCGGTTTAAGTCAAGACTTTTTCCATTTGCTTGTCCTGCAAACTGAAACTGGGATTTGAAAGGTCAAGTGGGTGCTTTTACTTTTTACATCTTCACCTGTAAAATCAAGATTTTCAGTTAAGCTTTGACTGCACAATGTTGATATGGGGTGTTGAATCCAACTCTGACATAGCTTTAAGAATTCCCCAGTACTAGAAGGAGTATAAATTCAATTCTGTTTTCAAAGCAAGTAAAAAACAATGGACATGGGGAGCAGTTATACTGAATAAGGAGGTGCTATTTTGACTTCGTCACTAAGGCCGGACACCTGCAACGTATTGCACCTAAGCAGACTCCTGTGCCCACACAGAGCCCAATGCACTTCCACGGGGCTCCATGCTGGTGCAGGAGTCTGTCTATGCACAACCTATTGTTGAATCAGGACTGACGAGCCAGATCCTGCAGTCAGTAAAACTCAATGGCAGTTTTGCCATTTACTTGTGAGAGTATGATTGGGCCCTACCATCTATTAACTCTGAGCTACGAAATTAAGTCTAGTATTTAGTCTAGAATCACGTTTTCCCTTTTAGAAGCAGTGCTCAATAAAAACCAATTCAGATACTTCACATTACATACTCCTGCTGAAGACAATTTTGAAGAAAAGTATTTTACAAGCCTGGTGTATATTCATTCTGCATGATTGACAGTCACACAGCTAAATAGATCTACAATCCGACAAGCAAAATACAAACTAAAGGAGCATAAGTAGAGCCCCATGAAATTCTCTTTATAATTTTTCATTTTATTTTTTGGGAATAACTTATTTGGTTTTCTCCATTCATCGTTGCCCCCCAAGGGGAAAAGAGGTGCTGCAACGAGGGGAGGGAAGGGGGGCAGAGCAAGCCCATCCCACACGCATCTCTCAGCAGTGACTCCTGTCCCACACAGGGTTGCAGCACCACTCACTCACTACCCCCATCCCATCGTGACAGTAGAGCAGCCAGGACAAACCCAAGCAGTGCTGCAACCCTGTGCGGAGGATTTAAATGCCTGTAGCAGGGAGCTGGGCCCAGCCCCGCAGGACAGGAGCAGTCATTGTGAGATGAGTTTTTTGTTGTGTATTTTAATCATTTTGTGTTTTACTTCATGTTATTTTGCATTTGCAAAAAAACACAGGGCTTTAAGCATAAGCACCTACCAAATAAGCATAAGCACCCACTCTCTGCACATTCAGATTCTTTGTATCTGACACATTTAAGATCTCTCAGTTACTGAAACCCAATCACATTCAGTTTACATAAAAAGCTCTCCGTCTGAAACTGAGAATTAGTATTTTAGTAGTACATGACTCTAGCTGTTTCAGGGGTAAACCAGGATTAATGAGGAAACTACATGCAGTCTCTATGGATACCATGCTGACCTTCATTGTTTTTGAGTTAAAAAAGGCAGTGGTCATTTACAACAAAAAGCTCCTTCGGTTGCTCCAGAATCGAAAGTTCCAATTTTAAACTGGAAAGAAATGGGTTATTTCATGCAGAGGTAAGCACATGGTATTTGACTAATTAGGCTGCTGAGCATTAAGTTGCAGTGAACCATTTATTACAATGTTCTACTGTAACACGTATTTCTCAAGAAACAAATGAAGGTTATTACAATGTCATCTATCAGAAGAGGGCCATTTCTCCACCCCCATACCTTTTCTCTTTTAGCTCACAAAGATAAATCTCAAACAGCCAGCACACACAAGTTCCTTTCAGTCATCATTCCTGAACATGACAGTCTCCCCCCATTACATAACCAGCCAATTTTATCAAACTCAACATCAACTAAAAATATTTATGGAGCATATTAAAAAATGGTCAATCTCAAGGGAGAGTTTGACTTAAAAAAAAAAAGTCAGTGGCATGGTGTTTGGAACAAACTGAACTGTCTGCCTTTGAGTAAAGTTACATGCCAGTATGATATGTAAGTGTTATATAAAGCTTTGTGAAAATTCAGGCTGGACACACGTTTAATTTTTTCTTACCCCACAACAGCTCTATTTTTTGAATATGAGTAGGCAGCATGTTCTAACTTTCATCAGTGGCTATGCTCTACCATTTTGAGACTGTTGACCCGTAAGATCAATAACATCGTAAGTAGGGACACTATTCTAATACCATCATGAAAGCTAAATTGTGTCTTTGTTGCTGAGTTTTGTGAACATTGTGATAGGGGAAAAAAATGTAGTATTGCTTAATGGTGACACTTTCCCCCCATGTATAGAAAAAAACCTGCAGTCTATCTAGACTACAACAGAAAATTACTGAAGTCTTTATCTAGAAGCACTGACTTTACTTATGAGATAGGAAATATGCATTTGACAGGCCCAAGCGAGCAATACAGGATTATCTGCCTACGTCTTATTCTACTTTAAATACTCTGGATTAATTCATGATGAAACAGCACCATCAACTTAAAGAGATATCTGTAATATCTAACAAAGTGAAAGCATCTTCATACAGCTCTTTTCAATGCATCTCAGTCCTGACCTGTAATTTATTCCAATCCTAAACACAGTAAGAGTTATATTGAACACTGTGTTTGTGCAGGATTGAAGTGAACGCAGCCAACATTAAAGTTATCTATTAGTGCAGCAAGAGATCTTAATTTGTCATGTACATGTTAAATGTTTGAAAAAAAATCACTTTCTATACTGAAAAAAACTCCTGAGTTAAGCATGATCACTACTATATCCAGCCATTGATTTGAAAGATAACTGCCATCGCACAGATATAACTGCAAAGGGAGTCAAATAATTACTTTGTTGTAACAGCCAAGGTCTTTCAAAGGAGTCAAATAGCTGAGCAACAGAAGCCTTATGCAAACAAAAACTTGAGAGAAGTCTGGTTGCTAAAACCCAGAAAGACAAACAAGCACTATAACTAAAATGAGACTCAAACTTACTGATCAGGAGAGAAGTTAAGAGTTTTGCACAAACAAACTCTGAAACATTGTTCTTGAAGTTCATCTGCAAAGTAGATATTAGACTAAAAACAAAAGGAACAGAATATTAAAAAAAAAAAAAAAAAAAAAAAAAAATCAGAGAAACATTACCATATGGTACAATAGTTACTGTTCACCTATTTTTAAAAGGACAAAGCTGGCCTTGAAAATGATGTATTGCAGTAAATTAAACTGGTAAAAGGCAAAGGCTTAAGTAATTTTGTATAACTTCAGTAAGGTTTTTTCCTCTCTTTTAACAGCATTTAAAAATTCTCACTAGAAGTTAAAATCTTAAAACAATAAAACAATTTAGAGGAAATTATGGTGATCAAGCAAATGTCCAGTGATGGCAAGAGCTGTGGCAGGAAAAAAGTTGAAGAACTGCTAGAACTAGGTAACTTTATAGAGAAAGGAGAGGGTGCAAACCATCTGCGGGGCTAGGAAATAAGCATGAAAAGTAGAGAAGAGAAATAAATAAAACCATAAGCATCTTATGTTCTACTAGTAGGCTCTTCCCAATTTTAAGAATTTCCATGTTCTCATAATTAACAATTACTTCATGAAACACAAAGCAAATAGACAATTATCTTCCAAAAAATGACTGAAGTACTTAAACTTGAGTCAATTACTGTACTGTGATGCTGCAGTTATGGTTGAAAAAGCACTTTTTAATCATAAACCCTTATTTACCAGCACTTCAACTTTTGGAAAAAAAATTCCCGTAGGCTTGAGTTTCTTGTGCTTATTTCCAGCCTAAGTATGACTTGTTTGGTGTGGAATGTTTGATAAAAATCTATCAAGCTGTTTGACGTATCCAAGCATGAAAAATTAGTGATTCACATCACTTAAAATTTTTCAGACTATATTTGCTCTTGGATAACAAACTGCAGCTTCTTTTTAAAGCCTCAAACTTGTTATGGGCTTAGCCCTCAGAGAGAATAAGCGCCTTTGACATAAAAAAGTATTACTTATTCATCACCCACATTTTAAGGTGGTTTACAGATAAATACTTAAAAGTGCCTTACTGCATCAAAACATCGCACAAACAATTTTGAGACTAGTATCTTAACTTCTGTCTTAGTTTCTCAGACCTGCAAAAATGGAATTAAGTGACCTGCTCCAGGTCTGATAATCTGTCAGAACCAGGAGCAGACTGCTAGAGCTGTGACTTCTAGTGCAGTGCTTAGTCCATTAGATCATATTGTTTAAATATATAATGCTCCAGATATATGCATGCTACTGTTACATGTGCATACAGAGGGCATGTCCATGTACTATTAAAAAAAAAAAATTAGCAAAATGCAGCATGATTTTTTTTATTTGTTCATGCACCCTAGCTCCCCTTTCTAAATCATTGTTAGCCCCTCACCCTGCAATGAGTTTTTCTGTGTGCATGCACATACGCGCACACACCAGCAATAACCACAAGTAGAGCTCACTGGCTGGACTGAAGCCTTGGTTTGCCTGCAGAGTGCATACATTCACTACTAAATTTTGTATGGGAAACAATAAAGGATACAACTCCAACTTGAGACAAATTATTGAGCAAGGGGACACTAGCAGGTTCCAAGAATGTTACTGAAATGTTTAACCAGAAAAAGATTCCAGGAGTCATAGGCTGTTTACATTCTTATCTCTTCCAAACAATCAAGGATTCATTTAGGTTCCTGCATCCCTGAGCCTATCTGTTCCTAGCATAGTGTCCCAGAAGAATCTACTGAACCTAATATTGTCTGCTCTGGAGAGAGGAGGGTGAGACAAAAGTCTGGTATTTTAATAAAACATGGAAAGGAATAAATAGGAAGTTATGAACACAATGAAGTTAGGAGTTAAGGATATGATCACTGAAATGAAGACAGAAGACAACAAAAATACCAATTTGTCAGAGAAACAGCTGTTAGATGAAAACAAGGTTTTAGAACAGACACTAAGCAGAACTAAAGATCAGATATAGAAGGCAAAAAAAATTATGTAATCCAACAGAAAGCCTATGTTCCTGATGTCAGAGACCGGGGCGTAGGCAGTCACACTAAGTGGTTGAGCAGGAGTCGGCAGCCAGGAATAGCAGTCAGAGGCCAAAGCTGGAGTCAGAAGTCAGGAATCAGAGCCAAGAGTCAAAGTTGAATTACTTGGAGTGAGGTGAGGCAGAAGCTATCACAGCCATGGGTGAATGCTTTGAGCAGCCACTGAACTGCAGCTGGGCTTAAGAGCTGGTCTGCTGACTCTTCCAACAAGTCAGACAGTGTAGCCAATTAGACATCCTACTACAGGCCAGCTGCACTCATTAGGTTGCCTTGAGACGGGTTCTGCTGCAGGCCCTGATTTCTGACACCTTATATAGAGACCAAATTTTCAAAGGGGCTTCAACCCAGCCAATCCTTTGCCTGTGCAACTTTGTACATTTATTTAGGCTAAGGGCATAAGTTTACAGTCTGCCTTGAGTAAGACCAGAACAGAGAAGAAATACTTACTGTCTTATCCACTCCCTCCCTGGTTCACTCCTTACTTTGGGGGAAGAAGGGGAATGGACAAGAGGAGTAAGTAATCTAGTACAGCAGATTAAATCCCCCTCCATGCCAGTTTAGCTGTTATCTGGCACACGAGAGAGCGTGAAGCCATGGCTTCATCTGTCCTCCCCCTGAAAAATAGTAAAGCCTTACAATGCTGAAGATATACCTTAAGAGATTCCATCTTTTGAAGTGTTTCTCTCTTTTGCAATTTGTGCATTTCTGCTCCATCCATCTTATCTCAGAGGTCCCAGGATATTAATTCTAGTAAGTCAGTGGGGGCTCTATGCATGCACAGGGTATGTCCAGATGGATCCAATTGCAGAAGGCAGGATTGGGGCATTAAGTGAGTTTATTACAAGGGAAACTAGGAAAGATCATGCGGATACAGGTGAACTTTGCAAGTTATCATGCTGTTTACAAATGTTTTGGAATTCATTTCTCTCAGTAAAGAAATGAATTATACTGGGTAGTCCCAATCTGTCAGTAACGGTTAGACTCTCTCTCTACAGCATTTATTAAATTGTAAACTGGAAAGATCTACAGGTACTTAAAGAGGTTGGTGAAATCTAACCCAAGTTGTCGTCACTTCTAATTCTCACTCAGAAACATCAATACAATATTTGTGGACTTGAAATTAAGAGAGAGAACTGCTGAACCTAAAAAACATCCATGATGTGGGGAAAAGGTTAATTGAGGGTCATCTGTTTTAAAGCTGTGCAAAAAATATCCATCTACCATAATAATGAACGTACAATAAATAGTGAATCAGCCTTATGAAAAATTAGCTCAACTCAAGCAGAGGGTTCCCATCCTCCAGTTTAAAGTCCTAAAATTCAAAGTGATGCTTTAGCTACAGTCTGTTTTTTTAAGTTTCCATATCTGTAATTTTGTTTCTCTGAGTGGAGACATCCATTTATCTGGATATCAGTGCTGGTTTAGGCCCGCCCAGTTCACATCAGTGTATATTTAGATTTTGTTTTTAAATTCAGGTTCTTCCAGCTGGAATACTGAAGCATTGTACTCTGACCCTAGAAAAGGGTTTCCCTAAAGCTGAAACTATATAAACATGGTAGAAATATTAACCACATTACAGAAAGTAAGATTATAAGAATTAAACAGTGTAATATCTACTTAGGTTTATCAAGAAAAGTTGAATATACAGGGATGGCCAGTGGATACCTCCATTATAAGAAATATTTAATTTCTCCCTCAAGCTTAAATACCGGACATTAGCCAGCTAATGAATATCTGCTGTCCTTTGATTTTAAGTAGGCATCTCTGTTGATCTCCATCCTGCCAAATTGTGGGTGGAAGGGTGGGGAGAATGGTTCCACAGGAACAAGAGGGATGGAAAGACTGTGCATCGCATCTGGCATCACAAGTTCTGGGTATTCACCTGTAGTTCCTGTATGGGGGTGGGAGAAGGAAGGGGATGTTTCATTCCTGATGGACGAGGAGGACTGAAGAAGCAGCACATTGTTTAATTTGGTTGGACCCTGGAAAGACGGAATCAAGGGTTATCCCAAATAACAATCCATGGTAATGATGACATTATGAGCACTGAATGAGGTATCTCCACTCTATATTGAAGATTCTTTGGTTCCCTCTGATATGTACCCTCAGCCTTCCCCTTCTTCTCTTAAAATGGGCAACTGCCACAGCTGCTTCTTTAAAAAAAAAAAAAAAAAAAAAAAAGGAAATTAAAGGTATCTTTGAGGACTGATCATGACCCTCGATAAGCACTAAAGATGGAGGGAATCACTAAAGAAGGCACGAATAGTGAGACTAGGAGAAGTAAGCAAATGCACCGGTCTTCAGGAAACTTCACTTACCTTAAAATGCAGTGGGTGCAAACAGAACCTGCTGTAGGGGCTTTGGAACCAGGCCACGTTTGGGACACTTTTCTCCATCACCAACTTCTCACATTACATTCATATTTATTGTCCACGGTCTGGATGGTGATATGAGTCGCTAGACCATTCTGCTGTACAACTGTGAAGCGAATCACCAGCAGGTGCAGTAAAGTAGGCTGGAGTAGGCCACACATAAATCTGGGAAAAGTTAGGACTACAGGGTTCTGACACTTACCTTTTCCTGCATGATTCTAGATATCTGGATGGTCCACTAACATTAGCAGGCTGACAGTATGGGCAGGAGTACTTTGTTGTGTTGTTGATGGAAGATATGGAAAAATGTCAAGCTGGGCTTGTCCACTGACAACCAGAAGGAGCTGGAAGGAATGTGATTCAGCACACGGGATGCCCTAAAACGAGAACACCACATTCTAATAACTAGAAATCCAGTTTAGTTAGATTTCTCAGCAATGTAAGAGTGAAAATTCTCACCCCTAAGTTCTCCATTTTGGTTAAGCAATGAGTGTAAAGCTATTCTCAGAGGCACTGGACTCAGATGGGAGTGCAGTGCTGCAGCAATCTAGCAGAGAAGTATGAATTTGAAGTACAACTAAAGCTGCCTTGCTTGCTGTGAAATCCTTGCCCGAGAGACACACAGACCACAAGATGCCTATATAAGAGAAGCCACCCAGACAATAACTACACCTCTACCTCGATATAACGCTGTCCTCGGGAGCCAAAAAATCTTACCGCGTTATAGGTGAAACCACGTTATATTGAACTTGCTTTGATCCATTGGAATGCGCAGCCTCCCCTCCCCCCCCAGAGCACTGCTTTACCGTGTTATATCCGAATTCGTGTTATATCGGGTCGCGTTATATCGAGGTAGAGGTGTATATTGGGTCTGATCCTGATCCCAATAAAATAAATAGGATTTTCCACTGACTTCACTGAAAGTAGCTCAAAGTATGCAAATCACTCTCATCAGAGAAGCATCAGTATCTGGTTTAATACAGCTTGTCCTCCTTCTGCAAAGATCAACAAAATCTGATTTTTTATTACTTGTAATGCCTAGAGGGCCCATCAGAGACAAGGGCCTATTCTACTATGCACTGCATACACACACTCCCTCAAAACAGCGCAAACCCCAAAGAACTTACAACTAAGGAATCATTGCATTCACTTTAAAATGTTAACCACTATAACCTTTTTTGTTTTTAACTATACTCAAGGACACACAGGATCTTTATTTAAAGAACTAAAACATTTCAACAAGTCTGTTTTGAAAAAATCCATCACTATCTCAATTTTCTAATTTACAGTCAGTAAATGGAAGAAGAGACTACAAGTTGCCAGATGAAGTTACAGCTATAAAGACAATTATTCTCATTTAATATGTATTGGAAGTTCTTTAAAAAAAAACAAAAAACAAAACAAAAAAACCCCAGTGAAATCTGAATATATGGAAAGAATCTTAGCATACAGTATTTAGCTTTTTAAGTGACTTCTTCCCTTATTAGAAACTGGTCTTGCCTCAAATAGATCTTCCAGTTTTTCAACATTTGAATCATTTCACTATTTAGAACACAGATGTTATATTCAGTATTGATTCCTATTTCAGCTAATCACTTTAAAGCAATTATACAGCCACAATCTGAACTGGAGAAGAGTGAGCGTTCTTTAACTGGAGCAATTCTCTCTCACACATTTTACTTTAAATTCTCATCATAATCTTTGAATTATTACTGTTAACAAAGGTGGATGTCCTCATCACAATCTCTATTAAAAGGACAGACGGCTTTACAAAACTACATAAAGTCAGAGTAGAGTTTCTATTTCATTAACCCCTTCAGTGTTTTGAAATTGATGACAAAGGTCCTGTTTAAACAGTCATCCTGTGTCTTTATACTGAAGAAGTCAGACACCTCTGGAAAGAATAAGCCTTTAGTGATTCAGCAGCATAGTCCTTCCCCTCCTCTAATAAATAAAACTCTTTGGAACGGCTTCCCCATTGATACTAGCTGCTAAAACACAGTCCTTTTGAGTGTTCAAATTTTAACTATGCCTAAAAAATAAAACTAAAGAGAAAATAAGAGTCCCAGGCCTGAGCCTGTTGAGTTCAGATAAATTGCAGAATTCCCCCGTGCCCATAATTAATCTAAAAACAAGCAAATTGGCTTATAAACTACCCATACTGCTCTTTCACAAAGGAATATTCATATGTACAACTCTTCTGTTTATTGCTATTTTATGCCAGCATTTCTATGGAAACATGTATTTTCAGACGACTTGGATGTGTATAAACAGAATAATTCACATAGAGAAAAATGTTGTTTCTGTGCCATGTAAACTACCATAACTACGAAAACTGATGGCATATAAAGTATGCAAGGCATGTTGCTAGGGGGGGGGAAAACAACAACCTGATTCTAGAACAACATACAAAAGAGCCCTATGTTTAAAACAGACTATAGACTTTAGGCCTAAATATACTTATTTTTCATAATAAAGCTCAATTTCCATATTCCTCCTACTGGTAGAAAAAATTAAAAAGAAGAGTTTACAGGTAAGAAAATCCATTCACTGTATACATGTGCTACTTGCTATCATAGCCTGACTACAGAGCTTTGCTGATGTTAGAAGTGACTTGGTTTAATTCCTTTTTTAAAAAAGCTCTGTTTTAGAACAAAAACTGTATACATTTCAAATTAGCAAAGCTATATCTGTACAAGTTTCAGTTATGGGTTGCTCTTGTCAGTTGCTATCATGTAAGACAGACAGCAAGATCTGTAGCTATCCGGTGTTATTCTGTAACTACTGCTACTGCTCCTTCCAACCTGGGCTGGAAATCTTTCCAACTACTTGAATTGGAGCCCCAGGCGACTTCACCCTTGGTCTGCTAAAGCCCTGCATTCCCCCTCCTCCTCACACATAGCCCATAGTCAACCAAGTAAAGCAACCAGCCATACAGTTTTAGTCATTTACATAAGCAAGAATTTACAAAATACATGTATTGTTCTGAATTTGCTGTTACTTTATGTTGACAAACATAGTATTCTAGAACAGATTATGGAGTTAACACAACCTGTTTCAGAAACAAACATTCTACTGCTTCTGACAGGAGGGAGACGTGCTTACCAGAGTCCAGGATGAAGTCAGTAGGATTCAAGTTCAAGCATCAAAAAGTACGTTCTGAGCCTCAGTGGGGAAGGAGCAATAGCCGTGAGATTGTAACCCATTAGGAAAAGGAGTCTGGACAGCACTTGTGCTGCAGGTGCTACTAAAACGCAATCCTGAATTGCTATGACAGCTATAAGAAATCACCTATTTATTAAATGGCTGGAGAAGGGAAGAATGGAGATATTGCCACCATATCTAGCTATCATAACAAAATGAAATATTAGAATCCCGGTATATGTGTCTTTCTTTGTAGGTTACTGGTCACCTTAGGCCCCGATCTTGCAAGCTGGTCTGGAGGGGCACAAAGGTCCACCCTCATTGAGCAGCTTTGCAGGACTGGAGCCTTACATTGTGAACTTTTCAGACAGACAACTGCAATGAGGAGATCCTGGTCTTGACTGGAGTGCCAAGCTACTACCAAAATATAAATAACCCATTTCACTGTCTTACCAGATGTCAAATGCCAGCTGCTGGGTACATTTTAGCATTATGTTAACTACAATGTTATAGGAGAAATACCATTAATTTTTGCTACAATTGAGAGGACTCAAATTAGAAAAATGATGGCATTTTTCTTTAAATATGTTTTCCAGTTTGAGGGCTTAGTTTGAAAGGGAAGTCCTGTTATTTCCCAACTTTTAAAGCAAACACAATACCAAGCATAAAATCTTGACTGTTAAGGTGTGATGTGACACAGCAAGACGACAAATGTGAGTTACAAAGACACTCTGAAAATGTGGTTTATTATTTACTTATTATTATTTTCTTATGTCATCCAAACATGTTTGTTTGTTACTGGGGTTTATTCAGACGTGCTAGGCTGCAGGAAGAGTTTTATTTACGATTTAAAGTCCACACATGTAGTTTACATGGGTTTTTCCACAGAGAAAACTCCTCTCCAGTCCAAAATATCGTTGGTTACTAGAGTGTCCTCAAAAGGGCATCCATACCAGTTGCACAGAAGGTTAAAATACTCTGAGAACATGTCTGCCAACTGCACAGAGAAAATCTAAGCAGTGCAGAAGGATGTTAGAGTGCTCAAGTAAACAGCTTACCACCATGCTAGGCCTGGTGTTCCCTCTCTATTATACAACGATGGGGGAGTCACTAGATTTGAAATAACTCTTTTAGTGCAGATCCAAATGTATGCTTTTGAAAACTGTGTGGAAAATTTCAAATGCTGTGTAAAGGGCCTGGTTTTCTAAACAGTGCTGGACACTTGCAACTTCCATTGAATTCCGTGTCATTTGCACGTGCTCTGGACTCTGGGGGGTAAGGGAAAAAACAAACAAACCAGAGAGAGTGAGAGAGAAAGAAAGTGTCATAGACTTTAAGACCAGAAGGGACAATTATGATCATCTAGTCCAGGGGTGAGCAAATTTTTTGGCCCGAGGGCCACATCTGGGTATGGAAATTGTATGGCAGGCCATGAATGCTCACAAAATTGGGGGTTGGGGTGTGGGAGGGGGTGAGGGTGAGGGCTCCAACTGGGGGTGAGGGCTCTGGGGGTTGGAGATGAGGGGTTGGGGGTGCACGAGGGTGCTCTGGGCTGGCACCGAAGGGTTCGAGGGCAGGAGGGATATCAGGGCAGGGGATTGGGGAACAAGAGGGGGTCAGGGGTGCAGGCTCCGAGCGATGCTTCCCTCCAGGGCTTTGGAGCGGAGCCCGGAGCTGGAGTGCGGAGCTGCAGGTTTTTGCCTGGAGCTGGAGCACAGCTCCAAAGCCCTGCTTACCTCAATCAGCTCCCAGAAGCAGCAGCATATTCCACATCCAGCTCCTATGGATGGAGGCACCGGCCAGGCAGCTCTGTGCGCTGCCCCATCCGCAGGCGCCACCCCTGCAGCTCCCATTGGCCGTGAACCCTCTGGCTGCCCCTACGTGTAGGAGCCGGAGGAGGGACATGCCGCTGCTTCCAGGAGCTGCACAGAGCAGGGCAAGCCCCAGACCCCGCTCCCCGGAAGGAGCTTGAGGGCCAGATTAAAATGTCTGGAGGGACGGATATGGCCCCCGGGCCGTAGTTTGCCCATCCCTGATCTAGTCTGACCTCTCATAGAACTTCGCCCACTCACTTCTGTGCTAGATCCATAACCTCTGTCTGAGCTACTGAAGTCCTCAAATCAGGATTTAAAGACTCCAAGTTAACGAGAATCCACTATTTACACGAGGTTAAACCTCCATGTGACCCATACCCCATACTGCTGAGGAAGGCAAAAAACCCCAGGGTCTCTGC